AAATGTAAAATATGGAGCATTATCATTTTCATCTCTCACCTTAACAATCACATTCACTGTGTTATTCAATGATGGAGTTCCTTTGTCTTTTACAAATACTTGAAATTTATAAGTATCTTGAAACTCATGATCTAAAGACATAATTGAAGAGATCAATCCATTTTCAGTGATTCTGAATGGTACAAACTGTTTATTAATAGTCAGCAGAGAAAAAGACAATTTACCTCCAAGTCCCAAGTCTGGGTCTGTTGCATTGATGGTGCCAACAGGGATTTTAGATCTTTGGTTTTCATCAATGAAGAATTTAAATAACTGCTTTGCAAACTGGGGTTGGACATCATTAACATCTGTCACTTGAACTGAGAATTTGCTCTTACTTTTCAATGGAGGGGACCCTTGATCCTGACAATGGATGATGATATCATGATGGTCATTTCTCTCTCGATCTAAATATTCTTTTACTATAACTTGATACTTCTGAGTGCCCATATTTCGAAGCTGAAATTTGTTATGTTCAAGGTAACAATTAACCTCTCCATCTTTTCCAATATCCTGATCAATCACTTTCACATAAGCAATGAAACTACCAACTTTTATGTCTTCAGAAACATCAACAGTGTTGTCTTTTGATGTTGAGACAAAATTTACTTTAATGCTTGGGGCATTATTCTGTTGGTTGATTAAATTCACTAGAACCATTACAATGGAACTGAGAGGAGGTTTGCCTTTATCCTCAGCCTTAACATATAATTCATATGTTGACTGTTGCATAAATGGTATCTTTTTTAATGAAGAAAATTTCTCCAGTATCTTCATTTATTTGAAAAATGTTTTTAGCAATTTCTGATGTTTTGCTACTGAAATAATAGGAAATTATTCCATTTTCAGCTGAATCTAAATCTTTTGCTGATAAAATTGCTATAGCTTTATTAATATCAAGTATATTGTTAACACTAACATTATAAACATTCTGAGTAAAGATTGGAGCATTATCATTGACATCTGTAACTGTTATATGAACATCTAATGTGCTTTGTTTTGGTGGAGATCCACCATCTTTTGCAATAACCTGAATTGTATAGGAATCTTTTTAATTCTCTATCAAGCTGGCTTTCCAAATTTATATCCAATTTTGAGGTACCATCCACATTTTTGGCAACTGATAATGAAAAAGGTTCATCTTTCTTTCTTTTCAGATGATAAGTTATTTGAGAATTAAGAATGCCAACATCTCTGTCCATTGCATTGGGAATTAATATTTTTGTTCCCTGAATATCATTTTCTTCAAATTCAATGTTGATTTGTTTATCTGGAAATTCAGGCTGATGATCATTGATATCTTGAATAACCACTTTGACTTCCAACAACTTAAAAACAGTTGTTGCTTTTTGAACAGCAATGTCAACCATTTGAAAACACTCTTTTTTAAAAGTGCAAATAGACTCAGCATCTAGCGTTTGAGCTGTGTAGAGTTTTCCTGATTTTTCAGAAATTTTAAACATTGGCGAAGATCCAGGAAGGCCTTGTTGCAACAGGCTGAATGTAATCTGACTATGTTTTTCAGAGATATCATCCTTTATCACCTCTGAGTCAGTACCTATATCTCCTAAATAGGCACCAGGACTTTTTCCTTCTTCAACATAATATGTGAGGTCTACACACACAGATAAATGCAAAGTGGAGACCAAAATATATGCTGTGAACATCATTGATATTGTTCATATGAATAGCTTCTGTGTAATTATATCATAAACAATAATTTTATGATGTAAGCTTTATTCTGCAATATGAAATAAAGAATCTTTAATTTCAAAATAAATGCTCCGGTGAGTGGGATAGTTTTTAATCAAATATAAACATTTCTATATAAAAATACAGCATTCAATAAAATTAAGCAAAAACTTTAATTATTTTACACAGCAGAACAAATTTAGTTAACATACAAAAATTAGATAAGAATATATTTTTTGAGAGTATCCGAAATTTATTATGTCTAATTTTATTCCAGAGGTCAATTTTTTCACAATAAAATTGGTATTAACCAACTAATATTGGTAAGATTTTCTGGATATATTTACATTCAAATGATAAATACAACATGTAAATCTCAGATTATTTGCTTTTATTACAAATATAAAATATGATAGAAATATTGATAACATATTTAGTGATTTGCAATTTAATATATAAATTTGAGTTATTCATATGTATATATCTATGAATACATATATGATAATGTATTTATTGATATTTACTGTAAACATTACAAAAAGAGACTAGTAAGTTAAGTGAAGAAATTCATGTAAAAATGATTTATCAACACAAATTTTTAGTGATGAATGCAGACCTGAGGTATGGACATCTGATAGTTGGCCTAGAGGCCGTGTCCATTATAGAACACAAATTAGAAGAGTCAGTGGGAAGTTTTATTTTAGGCTAATCTTGCAGGTAGTAAAATTATAAGTCCCTCAGTTGATCATGGTTTGAAATAAATACAGAGAATTTTAAATTCTTGGACAGGATACTTTCTGAGTGATACAGGCCACAACCAAGAAACTTTAAACCAAAAGAGTACAATGCTTTTTAAAAAATTACTGTTGCCTATCTTATCAAAAATATTTCAAAGACACTAAACTGATAAAACTGCTTCCAGTTATTAATCCAATAGAAAACTTGTAGCTTATAATTAAAAGTGATGTATATGAGAATGGAAAACAATATGAAGCAAAGAAAATCTCTGGGGAATAATAAAAACTACTGCACATAACAATAAAGTGAAAGTGATAGCAGTATAAAAATTAACAAAATCAATGAATGAAAAACTGATGATGGTTATAGAATGCACAAGAGCCCATATTAACATTTAAAATAAAAAATAACTTATTCAGGCATTTAAGATATTGTGATAATCAAATATTTATATGACTTATATTTTTAGGATTTATTTATAAAAAAATTGTATGTTGTAATTTGTCTGTACAATAGAACCTGACATACGTTAAACAAGTTATTATCAATGGTTTCCATATAGATATATATTACAAGTTGAGATTCATGTGATAAATTTCTCAAATAAATGTAAGTACATTCTGAGAATTTTACCAAGATCAATTGATTATTCCAAATTTTACTGCAAAAACACTGACTTGCATAATAAAATCTGACACAGTTTCTAGTAATAACATTAAAGAATAGATCTATAGCAAATATCATCATATAAATAACAATAAAAATTAGAATTAAAAGTAAAGAGTGGAATTCATTTACAATAATAAAGTTAAATTGAAAGAAAATCATTAAAATGTCTATTATTTTCATACATTTTGAATATTAGATATTTTTAAATAGCTAAATTAACATATACTAACATCATTGAAAAAATATTTTTATCAAGGTATGAAATGCATCATAGAATAAGTAATCCTGTTGAAATTCTATATCAGGATGACATTCAAAAAAACAAAATTAAAATTAAGACAGACTAGAAATGAAGATGAAAAAATAAAAATGCATTATTTATCAGATATTATAATAAAGAATTTTATGCATACATAAGGACCTGATCAATTTAATTTTAAATTAAATGCATTGGGTCAAGCAGTGATTAAAAACTTTACCATAAATTTCTATATATTCATGTAACATGCATAAAAATATCATCATGAAGAAAATCATTAAAATAATCACTAACACAAATATGGAAATAAAAAAGGCTGCATGAAAAGACAATAAACAGAATGCTTAATATTTTACAGAAATATTCAATATTTTGTTATTTTCATTAAATTTATGTAATGCATGAATCTTTTTTTTTCATTAGGACTGATGATAAATATCTCAGAATTTAACTTTTACACATATATATCTTGTTAATCTTGTTCCAGAAGATATAGAAAATAGTAGAATTGGATAAAAGCAACTTACCTTTGTTCTTAAAGCTGTTACACCAAATAGATACTTCCTATGATGATGTTTTATTCCACCATAGTGACATGTTCTTTTGTTTCATTTTATACACTATCCAGCAGTTCTATGTAGTGTGTAGTCTGTAAAATGGCTGCTATAAGCACTCTTTATAGAGCAGACCAAAGTATCGGCAACCAAACTGTGACAATAGATCTTAATTTTAACCATCCAAATATTTTTTTCTTAATAAATTTCTCTATAGATATTATATTGAAAAGTAAAACAAAAATAGAAGTGTGTATCAATATTAAAGTAAATTTAAATTAAAGAAGAAAATAAATTCCCAAAATGCAATGTAAAAATGCTATTCTTCCGTCACACATTACTTTCCTCCTTCTGTTAAGCCTGGTTCATGCTAACATTATTTTTTAAAGTAATCTAGAAAACATAAGAACAAATACATTTGTCATCAAGTTCTGATACTGATATAAATTTCAAAAGGGTTTATTTTAAAAGTCATTTTTATAATCATTATTTGTAAATTAATACTGTAAAATAATAATAGATATAAAAAAATGAAATTGCTATGAATTGGTCAGAGTAATTCAGGTGTTACAAAATTGTATAACTAGAAATATAGCAGCAAAAAAGTTAATTTAAAGTAAGGTTTAAATTGAAATGTTTATTAATTGTTGAAATTCAAATTGTTTAAAAATAAATGTTTATGAGAAAAATTAATTTAAAGAATTGAAATGTAATGTGTTCATTTTTAGATAATATCTAAACAAATCCTGACTTAGAATAAAATCAAAGAAGGCTTCATTAATTAAAAATACTTTGTCATACTTTGTAGTACAAACATGGATACCAAGAAATGTTTTTAAAAACAATGGAATTTTAGAATTTTCAAAAGTAGGAATCTGGTCTAAAGAATATAACTAAAAGTTGTAATTTTTCATTTGAAAGTGAAGCATTTTTTCATGTTTATGTTTAATGAAATCTAGTTGTCTTAAGTATTATTTTTGAATAGCATAGAGTGGGGGGGGTAAATATTCTAGAGTGTCTGTGAATACTAAAATGTTGGCTCATGACTTTTATGAGGGCAGTGGAGGCAGAGGTCTGTTGATTGAAGACTGACTACCACTTGCAGATACATTTCTTGAGTATAAATGTCTACCAGATGAACTATTGTTGTCACCACCTGAGTCAGACTTTGGATCTACATGGGAATTGTTTTCATTCATGTAAGGTGTGTAGAAACCTCTTGCTACTATTGTTGTATCACTGGGGTAGTTGACAGTCTGTCCTAAGGGTCTCATCTCTGTTATCTGATGGTGATCAGATTGTGAAGGAGGAGGATTACAATACTGGGATGGGTATACACCTGAAAAGAAGAAAAATATCTGAGAATTGCAATCAATTCTTACAATTCAGATTTTGTTGTAGCCAAACAACTTCTGAGATCATTATGAATCTTATTTGACTAATTTTATTTTGTTTCGATACATACTGAACAACAGTTAGTTAAATGAAATAAAAAATGGCTTATTCAGCTATAGTCACTAGACAATATTAAATGCTTTTACAGAAAGAGTTCAAATTGAACATTATATTGACCACACAGATGTTAGTTATTTTTTCTTGAAAATACTTGACTTTGAAATGTGTCTTCAAAATTCATGAATAAAAAGCTTTTTTCTGAATTTCTAAAGGTTACTCATTTTAAAATAATCAACTGGTGCAATCACACATCTCTAGTTTACAAATGATAAAACAGATGTTACAAGGTAAAATTATTAGTAAAAAAAACTGTATTAAAAATTTCAATTCGATTAATTTGAGTAACCATTATGAATAAATACTAAATTGGTTTATACAAGACAACAAATAAATATATGAGTAAACTATGATATTAAAATTCTTCTCTTTCAAGATTCAAAGCTACCTTACTTTCAATTTGCCTTGTGTTTGCTTCATTCCAACCTTGTCTATCGTCACTGTGAGAAGACTTCAAAGAAATTCTACTGGAAAAGTTCTGTGTCCTACCAGCATTTTTCTTATTTCTGTTGCTACTAGAAGGCAATGCCACATCTTGAACATACATCTAAATAAAATATTAACAGATCTATAAGAAAAAATGATAAAAAATAACATATATACATCCTATCATTTATCAAACAATGTTTTAAATCTTCTAAGATTAGGAATACTGATAATTGTAAATAGTAACAAAATGATCTTTAGTTTGAAATCTAATAATGCCTGTCAAAGATTTTACAAAGTAATATAAGATAAAAATTATATAAGTCAGAAATGAAAAACAAAGGACATAATATATTGGGAAATATATGACATTACCTGTGATACAGAATCTGCAGTTAAGTTAGGTTTGGGTGCTGGAGATGATAGTATTTGCTGAGTTGTTGAATAAGGATGGGATTGTAATCGAGGTGTTGGCGGCTGGCTGCTTCTCCTCATATCTGCCTCTGATGTAGGAACAGCAACATTGGACCAAGGATTGGCTGGGTAGGGAGGGCTAACTAAATGTCTCTGGCCACCACATAACTGCCTTCTGCCACTGGAATAGTTCGAGGATTACAACAACGAAGAATGCACACTGAGATTGAAGCTGTAATGATCACAGCTATTGTCACTGCAACTGATACAATGATAATTGCTGAAGTCAGGTGGATCTTTTGTTATCAGTCTTTATGTTAACAGCATTTAACATTTCTGATGTTTTGTTGCTTATGGTCAGTGTCAAATATACAGTTGTTCTAGCTGATAGAACTGGCTACCACTGTCCTTCACAAGAAATTCCAGTTCATAGGAACCAGCATCTTTTGGCTTAGGACATGAGTTGAAGATAACAAACCAGTGTACTGATTGATGTTGAATATTTGTTTGCTATTGCCTCTGATTATTTCATATTTGAGAAATGCATTCTCTTGTTTATCACTGTCTGATGCCTTGATTTGGGTGATGTTCTTTTGTATGATGTGGATAATATATTACATCCATATTATAAGGATTAACACTGGGAAATGTAAAATAGGGAGCATTATCATTTTCATCTCTCACCTTAACAATCACATTCACTGTGTTATTCAATGATGGAGTTCCTTTGTCTTTTTTACAAATACTTGAAACTTATAAGTATCTTGAAAACTCATGATCTAAAGACATAATTGAAGAGATCAATCCATTTTCAGTGATTCTGAATGGTACAAAATGTTTATTGGCAGTTAGCAGAGAAAATGATAATTTGCCTCCAAGTCCCAAGTCTGGATCAGTTGCATTGATGGTACCAACAGGAATTTTGGATCTCTGATTCTCATCAATAAAGTATTTAAAGTATCTCTGAAAATTGTGGCTGTACATCATTAACATCAATGACATGTACAGAAAATTTTCTTTTACTTTTTAGAGGAGGAGATCCTTTGTCTTGACATTTGATGATTATGCTATGGTGCTCTTTCAGTTTCTCTGTCTAAAAGAGTTTTCACTATCACTTGGTATTTCTTTGTTCCTATGTTTTGTAATTGAAATTTATCATGTTCAATTTCACAGTTCACCCTCACCATTTTGACCAGCATCTTCATCATTCACTTTCACATAAGCAATGAAACTGCCAACTTTTATGTTTTCAGAAACATCAACTGTGTTCTCTTTTGATGTAGAGAAAAAGTTCACATCAATAATTGGGGCATTATTTTGTTCATTGATCACATTTATCAAAACTTTTGCTAATGAACTCAAAGGAGGATTACCTCCATCTGAAGCTTCAATATATAATTCATATGTCATATCTTTTCTTAAAGTAATTTTCTTATTTAGAAAGATTTCACCTGTTTGTTCATTCAGTTTAAAGGCATTTCTGGTCATTTCATTTGTTTTCACACTGATGTGATATGAAACTTTACCATTCTTTCCTGAATCCAAATCTGTTGCAGATAATAAAGTAACAGGCTTCATTTCTTCTTGATTATGGTGAATAGAAACATTGTAAACTTTCTGTGAGAAAACAGGAATATTATCATTGACATCTGTGACAGTAACATCAACAATTAAAGCACTTTGCTTGGGTGGAGAACCTCCATCTTTAGCAATTACTTGAATCTTATAAGAGTCTTTTACTTCTCTATCAAGAGGTTTTTCTAGAATTATACTCAGTTTTGATGTTCCATCAACACCTTTAGATACAAATAAAGAAAAAGGCTGTTCTTCATGTTTTTTAAGTTCATAATTGATTTGGGAATTAATAATTCCCACATCTTTGTCAATTGCATTTGGAATTGACCGTCTTGCTCCCTTTCTATCATCCTCACCAAACCTGAGGTTTACTTGTTTTTCAACAAATTCTGGTTGATGATCATTGATATCTTTAATAATCACTTTGATTTCCAATAATTTGAAAACAGTGGTTGCTTTTCTAACAGCTACATCTACCATTTGGAAGCATTCTTTATTAAAGAGACAGAGAGACTCTGCATCTAATGTTTGGGCAGTGTAAAGTTTGCCAGATTTCTCAGAAATGCGGAATAATGGTGAAGTACCAATAGCCCCCTTTTGCAGAAGACCAAAACTAATATGGTGAACACCTTGAGATGAGATATCCTTCATTACTTGTGAGTCAATAGCAACATCTCCCAGGAAAGTACTTGGACTTTTCCCTTCTTCCATGTAATAAGTGAGATCCACACATACACAAATGTGCACAATAGTGAAGATAATGCAAGTCTCGGTGAACATATTATAAAAAAAAAAAAATAACTTCAAGTTGTTGATGTTTTCCTGAAATTTACATATAATAACTATTAGAAATTATAAAAATTTACAATTTAATGGACATTACTTTAAAATATTACTCAGTTTGTGGAATAATGTGTAGATTTATTCATAAAAACAAAATTATAAATTCTCACAATACCTATAGAAATATGTATTTATTGTAATAAATCTTCACTGAATATCAAATAAAGATTTTGAAATATTACCTTAAATTATTTTATCTTATTTTTCTTAAGCCTCATAAATACTGTAGTCACTATTTTCACAAAGTGTGTTGAAAATGGTAGAAAAACGAATATACAATAATAATAATAATAATTGCTTGATATTAAAAAAACAATATTACAAAGATTCAGCCATATGCAACATTATTTGTTTATAATTAATACATGAATACTGAACAGACTTCAGAATTTATGAAAAGAAAGCATTGCCAACTTGTATCCATAAAGGATTTTATAGATTTTAACAAATAAGCCATTACACATGTTAGAGAAAAAAACAAAGGATAAAAATTTTTTGCTTACTATATTTCAAGGAGAATGGAAAAAATCATTTTAAGCAAAAATGTCAGAAATTTGTAAATAATTCATTGAAAAAGAAAAGAGTCTATTTTTCTAGTTTTATTCAAATGTAACTGTTAATAGAACAATGGTCTGTCTCATTTTTTCTCCTTATTTTTCTTGCATGTTTTATGATAGAACACAAAGAAAATATAGAAAACCAAATGCCAACTTACCTTTGTTCTTAAATCCTCTCACATCAAACAGAAGTTATATCAATTAGATCTTTCACAATGATGCTATAATCCAACATCTTATTGTCACTTTTATATTTTATCTTAGAACAAAAATAGCCGTCCTATGTAGTGTGCTGCCCGTCTAATGGCTGCTACACTATGTAGTAGCCCAGTTATTCGTGATTGAATGGAAACTATGTAACAGTTAAATATCAATATTATTTTTTTTATCTTATTCAAGACTATAAAATGATAGAAATTCATAAAAAAATCAGTAACATAATTATTTACAAAATCATGTCAATTTTTACTTAAATAAACAATATAATAAATTCTAGAAATGCAATATAAAATTAAAGCTATTCTTCTGCCAAGATCTACTTTCTTCTTTCTATTGCTGCTTCAGTAGGCTGTTCCAGTTGGATATTATTTAAAAAATCAAAATAAATTAATTTTGTCTTTTAGGTTGTTCTTTATTAAAAAAAATTCTGATATTCTATTTGAAACTCAAAATCTAGATTTTGGGAAGAAAGAAAGAATGAAAACATAAAATCTAGATGAACTTTATTAGGAAAAAAAAAATGGCAGTATTTTTATGTTTATTTATAATTTGTATGCATGGATCACGTAGAATACCTAACTGAATCCAAAATTATTTTAAGATTATATGATCAACTTTACTTGTTTATGGGTTTTATTATTATACATTGAAATTGGAATAAATAATAATTATATTTAAATATACTGGAAAATATAAATTTACAAACTGTAATTTTATGAAATTAATTTTATAATTAATTATCAAAATGAGTTTGCTACTGTAAAAACAAATATTTTTTAGTGAAAATAATTGTATTTTTATTTAAGTTGAGATATATGATTTTCATACAACAGCCATAAGGTATAGGTTTTTAAGAGTTTGCAGGTATTTGTATGAGAAAATCATTCAATATGAACATCTAAGAAGGGTGGAATTAGTGAGGTACAGGAGGCAGTGGTCTGTTAATAGAAGACTGACTACCACTTGCAGGTACATTCCTTGATTGTAAATTTCTCCCAGTACTACCACTATCTAGATCTGAGTAATTCTTTGAATCTGTTTGGGGATTACTATCATTCATGTAGGGTGTATAGAAACCTCTTGCCACAATTGTAGTATCACTGGGATAACTGATGGTTTGTTCCAAGGGCCTCATCCTTGGTGTCTGTTGTAGGTCACTTTGTGATGGAGGGGGATTACAATATTGAGAAGGACTTGTATCTGAAAAATGTATGAAAAGTTATTTTTATTGTCTAACAGTCACCTATTTTATAATTAGTGAAAAAAATATTAATATAGACTATACATATATCCACATAGAAGCATATGTAATGTATATAAAATGGACAGCTATAGTGAAGTAATAGAATAGATTTAATCTCATAATAAACAAAACTAGTTCTTTACTTTTTA